CTTGCTTTGTAGATCATGCTGGTCTCAAACTCAAGAGATCGGACTTCTGGGATTAAAGGCATGCAATACTATGCCTGGCTATCATGATCATCAGTAATAGTAGTAGTATTTTGGTCACAATCCCAGATTGGCTATAAACTCAGTTCAGGATGACCTTGAACTATTGATCCTCCCGCCTCTACTCCCAAGAGTTAAGATTGCAGATGTGTGCCATTACAGTACTATTGAAGACACTATCTTTAACTGGTTTATTTAGAGCTGGGATTCGATCCCCGGACGTTGTGCATGCTAGGCAAGCACTCTACCAACTGAACTACATCTACAGCCCCTGTTTTCTATCTTAAAAGAATTCAGTTTTTCATGGTTAAAAATAATATTTGCAGTAGTTGGGCTTAGTGGCGCGTGCCTTTAATCCCAGCATTCAGGAGGTAGAGGCAAGAGGATCTCTGAGTTCAAGGCCAACATAATCTACAGAGCAAGTTCCAGAATAGCCAAAAAGCAAACAAAAAACCCCACAAAAAACAAACCATTTGCAATTGTGTGTGTGTGTGTGTGTGTGTGTGTGTGTGTGTGTGTGTAAGCCTTTTATTAATTTGAAGAAAGGTATCTGTCCTCCTAATCTGCTGTGAGTGACTTGGATTTTTTTTCCTTGGATGGACATTGTCTTCTGCCAAATGCCTTTTCTGCATCATTTGATATGAGCATGTGATTTCCCTCTGGAAACCTGTTGTTATGTTGAAGTCCACTGACTTTGGGAGCTTTGCCTCCCAAGGATAAATCCCACTTGTAGCTGGCTCTCATTTTTCATTGCTATCATCGTTTACCAGTGTTTTTGTCTGCAGCCAGAAAGGGTGTCAATGTGTCATGCTCTTTCCTTGCAGTGCCCTCAAAGGGTAAGCTAGGGTTCTTCTCCAATCCCTGGAAGATTTTCCATAGTGTTGGCATCATTCCCTCCCTACACACTGGGCAGGACTTGCCTGTCAAACTATCTTGCCTTGGCTTTTTCCTTTCTGAAAAATGTGGATTTAGTTTCTTTTCACAGTAATCATTTGACTAACAGCATCAGACCAGCAGACATTCAGAACAATTTTGTTATCTGGCTGGCACAGCGTCCAGCACTAAACTCTTATCATTCAGTCCAATCTCTCTGTTTTTCAAGACAGGGTTTCTCTGTGTAACAGTCCTGTCTGTCCTGGAACTCACTCTGTAGACCAGGCTGGCCTCGAACTCACAGAGATCCGCTTGCCTCTGCCTCCCGAGTGCTGGGATTAAAGATATGCACCACCACAGCCTGGCTTCCAATCTCTGTCTCTGTCTCTGTCTCTGTCTCTGTCTCTGTCTCTGTCTCTCTTAAATCCCAAGGACTATCAGCCTGAGCTTTTTATTTGTTTTTGTTTTAATGTTTTTAAATTTTCAGCTATTTTGACTTTATGCATATGGGTATTTTGCCTGCATGGAAGAAGAGAACTGACTGTATAAAGTTGTTCCCTGTCCCCAGCCCCCACACACATGCTACATGGCATGAGCACCCCCTACACACATCATACACACAATAACACCAAATTTATCTAACTAGGTAAAATTGCCATGCAGCACCTGAATTCAGTACAAATCCTCATGAAAGCACTGAACTTCAGAGATTAAGAAAGGATTCTACTCAAATCATTGTGAGCAAATCAAATCACTTCTAAACAGGAAAAATAATTTGTCTGGCTTCCAGTCTTTCCATATCATCAGCCTGACATTCAAAGATGGAGGAGCCACACCTGTGGAACTTTCAGCACAGTGACAGAGATGCCTCTTTGTTCCCAAGAGCCTTCCATTAAGAACACAGTGTCTGAAAAAGTTCTAACCACAAATTAGTGGGTAAAAGCTTTTGCCTGCCATGCAAACCTGAGGATCTGAGTTCGAATCCCTTGAACCCAAGTCAATGCCAGGTGTGTGTTTCTAATCTCAGCACTCTCAAAGCAAGACAGGAGTAGAGGCAGGAGAATCATGGGAAATTTGTGGAGCAGCTAGCCTGGAAGGTGCAGGGGGCAGCAATATGAAAGAGACTGCACCTCAAACAAAAGGTAGGGCAAGGGCACACGCCCAAGCTTATCCACTGTGGCATATGTGTAGCCTAACACATAGTACATGCACATACAAATACACAAATTAATTGATTGGCTGAGTAAAAAATGACTAGGAGTTGGGGCTGGAGAGATGGCTCCGTAGTTAAGAGCACTGGTTTTTCTTCCAGAGGACCCCAGTTCAATTCCCAGCACACAACTGTCTCTAACCCCAGTCCCAGAGGATCAGACACTCCTCTGACTTCTGACAGCACTACATGACCTTGGTGGTCAGACACATATACAAACACTCATACTCATAAAGTTAAAAGCTAAAAATTATAAAAAATGGGGCTGGAGAGATGGCTCAGAGGTTAAGAGAACTGGCCGTTCTCCCAGAGATCCTGAGTTCAATTCCCAGCAACCATGTGGTGGCTCACAACCATCTGTAGTGAGATCTGGTGCCCTCTGCTGGTGTGCAGGCAGAACACTGTATACATAGTAAATAAATATTTTTAAATGGATAGGAGTGGTCAATAGTCCATTAAAAGCAGACTTTCATAGGCATATTATCTACATTATGATAACAGAGAGAAATCATGATGACCATGATGCTGATGACTATGGGGACAGAAACACATGGAGGTGGAGTGTAAATATCCAATATCTTCTGGGAATTATTTAAAACCTCTAACTCAGGAATAGAGACAGAAGTATTTTTCTCTGAAGGAATAAGTTAGGTATAGACTCTTGCTATGTATAGACACACAGATCTTGTCAGAGCACTTTAAAGCAAAATCCAGACCATGTCATGTCATCTACCTAATAAAAACATGTAAATTGCTCTAAATACCATGCCCTAGTTACATCTTCAAAATGAACAGCAAGGCTCTGTAGCTCTGTGCTCTAGTGTCTGTCTAGAATGTAGGAGGTTTGGGTTAAACCCTGGTGCCAGAAACAACAATAAAAATGTCTTTCTCCTTTCGTCTTTTCTTCCCCTTCTCTTTGTCTTTCTTTTTTGTTTCTTGGGCTAGGACTCAAACCTGAGGCCCGAGGCCTGCTAGGCAAGCGTTTTGTCACTGAATTCCACTCCCAGCCCCCACATTTCACAGCATCATCTTAGTCTGTACCCAAAGGTCCCTGACGATAACAAAGATAATTTAAGACCTAAGTGAGGGGCTCCTATATTGTACTTGGTTATTACAGCTCAGAAACCTGTGTTATTCTATGACAGCCTTATGTCCCCTTTACCTGTGTACTATTGATTTACTGAAAACACTGGCTGTTCTGTCCCAGACACCTGTTGATTGCTTCTGTAGGGTGTCATCCCACTCATTTGCTGTTTCTTCTTAGACAAAGAGGCTTTATTTAAGCTTTGTTATAGGCAGGACTATTTAAGAGGCACTGCTGTGTACTTCCCGCACATCACATCAAAAGATAGATAACGTGTGTTGTCTCATCTGTAGAAAGACTGGAATCCCTTAGTGGCTCAGGTGGTACCAGTCTGGTTCATCTATTGGAAACTTGCCAGACCTGGTTTTACTTAATGCTTTTGGTGTGCACCAATGACCATTGTTGAGATCCATTACTTTCATCTTTTGTTTTCATAAAGGCTCTTACCCAGGCTTTTCTATGTAGCCCAGGCTGGCCAGGGATTCATGATCCCTGCATCCTGAGTGCTGGGATTGCAGGCATGCACTCCATGACCAGCTTTTAGTTTTTTTTATTTTATCATTTATTCTGGGATGTGGTAGCTCACACCTGTAATGCCAGCACTTGGGAGGTTGAAACAGGAGGCTCACAAGTTCGAAACCAGCACGGGGTGCATAGTGAAATCCTGTCCCCCTAAAACAAACAAACAAAACAAAAAGTTTTCCTTGGTAGGAACATTTGGCTAGCATGAGAAAGTCCCTGGGTTCATTTATTCTGCATGCATATGAATTATTGACAAAGGAAATAATACGAAGATGGGTAGTATGTGGGAACAAGATTAAAATGAGACTGGCTCTGGGGTGAGAACTGGTGACTCTAGACACTGGCTATTGGAACTCATTATATGATTTCTTTTGCTTTTGTTGTTTTGCCTTGAAAATTTTTTTAAAAAGTAATTCACATGTTTGTGTCTCTATGGGAGTTCCCAGGTTCTCTGGCAGGCTGCAGTCCTCAGATGACCCTGGAGCCACAGTTAGAAGCATTGTGAGCTGTCTGACATGTGTGTCGGGATTTGGACTTAGGTCCTTTGAAAGAACAGTATGTGCTTTGAGCCGCCGAGCCATCTCTCCATCCCCTTTGTTTCGTTTTTTGAGACAGGGTCTCATTTAGGCCAGGTATGCCTAAGTCATTAATTAGCTGAGTAGCTGAGTAGCTGAGGGTGACCTTGAAAGTCTGTCCGATCCAGGTATGCACTACCATCCCACGTTTGCCACCACCCCCACCTCCTTCGTCCCCTTGTTTGAAAACTCCAGGCCATGAAGCTTTTCTGAAGTGGGAAGGGTTTTGGATGTATTCCTTTTGTCCTTTGGATCTACTCTCCACCCTTCCCCACTATACCGTGTGCCTGCGAGGCTGGTTCCTCTGAAAAAAATCAGTGGGCTCCAGTTGGGTTTGGGAACTGGGATGGAAACGAGGAGCCTGAGGTCCAGGCCTTGTAACTTCCCAAGGCCTCTCGCTGAGAGTTCTAGGGAACCGCCTGCCTGTGGCAGCAACCACAAACCTCAGCTCCCACCTGGCGCCGCTGCACCAGTCCCTTGCCCTAGCCCCAGTGGTTTCCCTGTATCTTGCCCATACTTTTAGGAATAGTCCTTTATTATTTTTTTTCCTTAAATTACCCAGTTAGGGTGTGCCATCTATTCCTTGCTGGGTCCTGTCTGCTACCGGAAGGCGATTAGCAGCAGAAGGACCAGATCAAGGCCAAAAGCCCTGGAGGAGGAAAGAGTAGGAGGGACTGAGGAGAGAGGAATGACCACTGGGGACAGAGGTGATAAGCAAAGTATGCGAGCTGGGAGGGTGGAGGACAGGTCCCAAACAGGACGAATGGTCGGCTGTGTAAACAGCTCTGTTAGTCCTGATGCATCCCTTTGGAATCCCAGACCTGCTTGAGGGGGTGCAGACCTGCAGGACAGGCTAGGCTGGGTTCTCGGAACTCCAGCTTTCCCAGATGCTTGGGGCTGGCCGTTAGCCAGAGACTCAGAATCTCCCCTCCTGGGGAGGATCTCAGCTGCCATCGGGGGACCCCGGGGGGTGCAACTGAAGAGCCGTGGTGACCTCTGCGGGAAAGCAGCCCCTAAAACCTGCCCAGAGAGCTTGGGTGAAAAAGGTAAGTGTGTGGTGAAGTCGATAGTGATGTGGCTGCAAAATCCCCTCGCGCGGGGCCGGAGTGGGAGGAGCTTGGGCCTCTGGCTTGGTAGTACAGTTAAGGACTGGGACGAGGTGATGCTAGAAACATCTCGTGGTTTCTGAACTCTACTGTGCCAAAGCCTCTTTAAATGTTTTCATTTTAAAATGCATTCATTGGAGGCCCGAGAGATGGCTCAGCAGTTAACAGCGGGTACTGCTCTAGCAGAGGACCTGAGTTCCGAGGCCGATATCAGGTTGCTCCCAACTGCCTGTAACTCCAGCTCCAGGGAGATATGATGCTGCTGGCCTCTGTGGTCACACACAAACAGAAACATACATGGGTTTAAATTTTTAGAAAGAAATACATTTATATGACATTTTACATAATTGGTAGTTCTTCATGATTCAGAACCAAAATGTCTAGGCGTGGGGAGGTATAGCTTAATTAACAGAGCGCTTAACTAGCATGCCCCGGGTTCATTCCCAAACACCGCACAAAACTCAGTGTGGTAACGCAGGCCTGCAATCCTAGCATTCAGGGTATAGAGGATCCGGAGTTTAAGGTCATCCTCGGCTACATAGTTTGAGCCTGCCTGGAATACAGGAGATCTTAGCTCAAAAATAAAATAAAAAGTATCCAGACAATTAGTGATTGGGCTCTGTCCCTCATCTCCTGTAGTCCCTATGCTCATTGTGGCCTTCCAGGAGAGTTACAGCAAGAACCAGCAAAAGCGAGCCTGCACCCTCACCCCCACCCCTACCCCGCTTTTTTTTGGTTGTTTGTTTTTCCCAGACAGGCTTTCTCTGTGTAACAGCCCTGGCTGTCCTGGAACTTGATTTGTAGACTAGGCTAGCTTTTAACTCACAGAGATCCACCTGCCTCTGCCTCCCGAGTGCTGGGATCAAACAGGTCATCACACGAGGCTCCACTTCCCTCCTTTTAACATGATACATTCTACTTTCTACATTGTGGACGTTTTGTCCCCACTTAATCCCAACACTAAAGAGGCAGAGACAGGCAGATCTCTGCATTCAAGGCCAGCCTGGTCTATAGAGTGAGTTCCAGGACAGCCAGGGCTACACAGAGAAACCCTGCCTCAAAAAAACAAGAATAAAATAAAATTTTAAATTTTAAAAATATATTGAAAATCTTTCCAAATTAATGCATACAGAACTCCTTCATTGCTGTCCTCTCTCAGTAGTATCCAGTTGTACAATGTATTGAGGCATCTCTGTTGACAAGCATTTTCTGTGTTACTAATAATGCATACCTGTTGATTGACCGAGCAAGTGCAGTCATGTGTATAATATTGTACACAGTACAGACCACCTCCCATATCTGCTAATGTATATTTCTGGGTAGAGTCAATTCCTAGAAGTGAAATAACTGAATCAAAGAACATATACTAAGGCCAGCCAGATGGCTTTGTGGGTAAAATCGCCTGGGCCAAGCCCAAGGACCGAGTTCAATCTCCAGGACTCACATGGCAGAAGGACAGATGGTGTGCTGGTTATTTATTTATTTATTTATTTATTTATTTATTTATTTATTTTTGTCAACTTGACACAGGCTAGGGTCATCTGGGAAGAGGAACCTCAACAGAGAAAATACCTCTACCAGAGTGCCCTATAGGCAAGCCTGTGGGGGCATTTTCTTGATTAAGGATAGCTGTGGGAAAGCCCAGCCCACTATGGGCAGAACCACCCCTGGGCAGATAGTCTTGGGTTGTAGAAGAGGGCAAGCTGAGCAGCCATGGAGAGCAAGCCAGTAAGCAGCTCCCCTCCATGTTCTTTGCTTAAGTTCCTGCCTCCAGGATCTTGCTTTGCATACCTGCCTTGATTTTCCTCAGTGATGGACTGAAATAATAGTGTAAGCTGACATAAAATGAGCTTTTTTCCCCGTGGGTTACCTGTGGTTATGGTATTTATCATAGCAATAAAGAGTAAACAGACAGTCCTGAAAGTTGCCTATGACCTCCACACAAGGGAGCAAAATTCTCTCTCTCTCTCTCTCTCTCTCTCTCTCTCTCTCTCTCTCTCTCTCTCACACACACACACACACACACCAAATAAATAAATAAATACAACGTAATTTAAAAACAACGTATTATTGTGATTTTGATAGATATTGCCAAATTGACCTAAGTTTATTTTTTCCTTTTGAGATATATAAGGTCTCACTATACAGCCTAGTTGGGCCACCTCAATGCTCCTGCCTCAGCCTCCCTGATGCTGGGATTACAAGCATGTGTAACCACACTTGGCTTATTAAATGAACTTCTGTGGAGGCTGTACTACACTATATGCCATCCTGTCAATGTCTTAGACGGGCCAAGGCTAGTTAAAGACAATTGCATAAGAGGTAGCATATGGATTATCCTCTAAGGTTGTTCCAAATGAAATTCCTACCTTCTGGGAGCCATTTACCCAGTGGAATACTGTTTTCCATCTTTTTATTTTTTAAATAATCCAGATCTTCCTAGATCTAGGCCAGCCTTTCTTTCTTTTTCAAATACTTTATTTTATTTTACGTACATTGGTGTTTTGCCTACACATATGTCTGTGTGATGGCGTTGGATCTCTGGAATAAAAGTTACAGATAGTTGTGAGCTGCCATTTGGTTGCTGGGAATTGAACTCAGATCCTTTGGAAGAACAGTCAGTGCTCTTAAGCACTGAGCCATCTCTCCAGCCCCTAGGCCAGCCTTTCTATATTAGTTTTCTTGTGTATACATTTGAGTGGGTGTAGGTGTGCCTGTACATTCGTGTGGAGGCCAGAGGTCAGTGTTGGATGCCTTTCTCAGTCACTCTCCGCCTTAGTTTTTGAGACAAGGTCTCTCACTGAACCTGACTGATGGGCTAGACTGCCTTGCCAGCAAACCTCAGGAGTCCTTCTGTCTCTTTGTTCCCAGCACTGGAGTTGGATGCCAGCGATCCAAACTCAGGTCCTCATATTTGAAGAGAAAGCATTTTGCCCACCAATCCATTGCCTCAGCCCTCTATAACTTAAGTTTTCTTTTTATGTAAATAACTATCAAGTTAGTAGCATGCAATAACACTGAGTTATTACCTCACAGTTCGGTGGGTACAAGTCAGCCTCTGGCTGACTAGCCTGAAACCAAGGTCTCAGCCATCACCGCCTGTGTTCTCCTCTGACGCCCAGGAACCACTTCCGAAGTCTTCTAAGTTGTTGGTAAGATTCATTTTACTTATAGATGTGGAATTTGGGTTGGGAGGATGGTTCATTGGGTAAAGTGCTTGCAACACAAACATGACAAGAATTTTAATTCCACTGCCCATGTAAATGCCCAGGTGGGCATAGTAACCTATTTACAATCTCATTCCTGGTGAAAGAGAGCTCTAGGATCCCTAGAGCAAGCTGGCTAGCTAGATTAGCAAACCCCGTGAGCCCTGGGTTCAAATGAGAGACCCTGCACCAATGTATAAGGTTCGGAGCCATCAAGGAAGACACTTAGTGTTTCAACACAGGCAAGTACACCTGCACGTATGCATGTTCACACATACACACACACACACACACCTACCTATGACATTGAGACCCCATTATTTTGCTGGCTGTTTGTGGAGACTAACAGCATTTAAGACTGCCCTGAAGCCCCCCTAGACTCATGGCCCTCTCCTCACATGGCATCAACACCTGCAAAGGACAGCAGGAGGGCCTGCTGCAGACTGCACAGAGTCCTGTATGACGTAACCTAATCAGTGGAGCAGGGTGATTATTCTATTGTAGTCACAGATGCCACCCACACAACAGCATAATACAAAATATGTATACCAAAGAACAGAAAAATTGGGGAGTCCTCTTAGAATTTGTTTATCACTCCTTAATTTATTCCCAAGCCCCTCTTTTCTCAGTCATCAGCCTGAAAGCCAGCTACTGCTGACCTGCCTGTGGTTTCTAGTTCAGGATTCCATGTCCGTCCCCCCCCCTTTCCATCCTTGTGTGCCCAGCCCCCGCCCTCCCCATTTGCTCCTTATGTAGAACATGCCTCCATTTCCGGATTACTGGCTGCACAGTCACACTCTTAAAAACTGAATTGTTTTACCAGGGGCTGTTAGCCACCTAACTCAGACAGTGGGTGTCCCTGTCTCAACTAACCCATGAAGCTTGGTCAGCCCTTCTGGGATAATAGCCAGAACCTTCACACTGGATGACATAGGACAAAAGTGAATTCATGTCTTCCAGCCACACCAATCACTCCCATTCTCCTTCCCTCATCTGCCCCTGAATATTCCATCTTGGAGGGGCCCCTGTGGTGAGTCATTAACACAAACCTCAAAATGTATTTCCCTTGGGCCTTTCAGTCCTCACACAGTCCACTTTAAAATCTGGATGACTAAATTACTCGCCAGTTCTCTCCCATCTTAAGATATATTTCCTGGTTGGGGCATATGATTCAGGGGTAGAGTGCTCGCCTAACAAGTGTGATGAAGCCCTAGGTTCAGTCCCTAGCAACTCGCGTGAGTGAGCGCGAGCGCGCGCACGCACGTGTGCACACACACACACACACACACGCACGCACGCACACGCACACACACACACACACACGCACGCACGCACACGCACACACACACACACGCACGCACACACACGCACATGTGGTCTCTAGAATCTGTTTAAGCTTCTCTCTAACCTCACCCCTATAGCTCTGGCGTCTCCTCCAACCTGCCCCCAGCAGGAGTTACATCACAGTATGTCCAGCTTTCTGACTAGACAAAACTTGTCTTCAATTTTGCAACCCCCATCTCCAATGCTAGAGATATTTTGTGGGCCATGGGGAGACCACTATCTTGCAAGCACATCTGAGATAGTTAGTGGCTGCTTTTTCTAAGAGTCACAAGCTATCCCAAAAATGCACCTAGATTGGTCTGCGGTCTTTCCCAGCTCACATTCCTCTCTGGTACAGATCACATCTCTCTCTGCTCATCTTTTAGATGAAAGACATTACAGTTAAACCTCGTGATGACACAACCCGTGCTCCAAATAAGATTTTTGGACTCCTTTATGCCTAGGTCTAAGAACCAAACTTCTTGCTACTGATGACTGAATTTTTTTCTGTTTGTTTCATGTATGCGTGCATTTTTTTTTGTACATGTGAAGCACCCCCCCCTCAGACCCCTACACCCGTGATGTTGGGAATCATAATCCATCACTCTTCCATCTTATTCACTGAAGCATGGGCTCTCAGTCAAGTCCATAGCTCGCTGATATGGCTAGTCTCTTGCTCTGCCCTTTCCATCTGCGGTTGGAATTACAGATCTGCTGCCAAATCCACCTGGCATTTACATAGATGCTGGGAATCCAAACTCTAACCCTCACGCTTGCATGCCACTGAGCCATCTCCCCAGCCAGTGACTGCAAACTTTATGCTGGGCACTGGGGGAAGATTTTTCTCTAAATCAGTCATATGTAAATGTTAACACTTCTCTATAGCAGGTTCCAGGACTGACTTTAGAGAAAGTAGCAAAGAATGTTTGTACATTCTTCTTCTGACTTGACAAAGTCCTGAAATCACCCCAAGGGAAACTTTTCCTTATAGTCTCACAGGCTTTGGGCTTTTTAGATGACATTCTACTTCTCTCTTTAAGATTTTTTTTTTTTTTACTTTGAACCAGGCATAATAGCATATGCCTTAAAATCCTAGCACGTGAGAGGAGGCAGAGGTGGGCGGGTCTTTGTGAATTTGAGGTCAGCCTGGTCTACAAGCCAGCTGGTGATACATGGTGAGACCCTGTCTCCAAACAAATAAGTCCCAGCACTTTACATTCATAATTCTAGCTTTTCATTTACTTGTAAGAAAAAATACCAAGAGTCCCATGTATCCTGTCCATGGTGGCAAGATCTTTAGTCCAATGCTATAAGCAGACTGCTCACACCACCAAAGTCAAGGTACAGGGCATCTCCATCATGCCTACGATGTAAAATTGTTCATTTTTTTAAACTGCCACACTCTTTTCCATAGTGATTGTGCCATTTTACATTTCCACGAAAATTCAGGGCCTTCTAATTTCTTCACATCTTTGTCAACATTTCTTTTTAAATAGTAGCCATTCTAATAGAAGTAAGGGGGGCTCTCACATCTGTGCGTATGCATGTGTGACTTGTGTCCATGTGTGCAAGTATGTGCATGTAAGGACTAACCCAGCATGATGTCTTTTCCTTGAGCTTTTAACTTTATCTTTTCTTAAAGACACAGTCTCTCATTTGACCTGAAGCTCCATTTAGACTGGCTGACCAGTGAGCCCACAGGATCCTGTTGTCTCTACCCTCCATCACTAGAATTACAGATGTTCACAGCCATGCCTGGCTTTCACAGGTGTCCTGGGAACCCACATTCTGACCTTTTGCTTTTGCATTGAGCACTTTACCCACTGAACCACATCCCCAGCCCTGATTTTTGGTTTTGATTTGTGTTTCCTAAATGATGAGTGATACTGAGCATCTTCTTGTGTGCTACTTGGCTATTTCTGTATCTTCTCGGAGACGTGTTCTGCTTTATTTTGAATGATCATGAGTAGCATTTTATATTTAATTTTGGTGTCGATGTGTCCATGATAGTATATAGAAATACACTCAGTTGGGGGCTGGAGAGATGGCTCAGAGGTTAAGAGCACTGGCTGCCCTTCCAGAGGTCCTGAGTTCAATTCCCAGCAACCACATGGTGGCTCACAACCATCTGTAACGAGATCTGGTACCCTCTTCTGGCCTGCAGGCATACATGCACGCACAACATTGTATAAATAATAAATAATTAAAAAAAGGAATACACTCACTTTTGTTGGTTATTGTTTTAAAACAACTATAATGGGCACATTTTATTTATTTTGTGTGTGTACATGTATGAGTGCTCATGCCACAGTTCGAACATGGAGGTCAAAGGACAACTTGCGGAATTGGTTCTACCCTGTCACCACATAGGTCCCAGGGTTTAAACACAGGTTGTCAGGTTTGGTGCCAGCTGCCTTTACCCACTGAGTCATCTCAATGACCTGTGACTTTTATTCTTGAAACCGTTATGATGGTGGATTACACTGAAGAGTTTTAGAATCATTCCTGGAATAAAGTCTACTTTATTTGCTGCATAATTCTTTTCATAAAATTCATATATTTCATATATGCTCAATCCTATATTTTGTTGGTTATCTGTGCATGTATATGCATAATGGGCGTCGGTTTGTAGTACCTGTTTGTGCAGTCTTTGTCTAGTGTTCTCTAGACTCAGAAAATGAGTTGGAAACTGTTCCTTTTGGTTTTTTGTGGTTTTTTTGGAGGATACTATATAGAAATGGTAAGAGTTCTCCAGTGAGACACAATGGCTATCAATATTTCTTTTGGGGGGATTGGCTAAATTACAAATTCAATCCCATTGATAATTATAGAGATATTTAAATTATCTATTTTATTTTTACTTATTAAATAATATTGTTTTTGGTTTTTCAAGACAGGGTTTCTCTGTGTAACAGCCCTGGCTGTCCTGGGACTCACTTTATAGACCAGACTGGCCTCAAACTCAGAACTCAGAGATCTGCCTGCCTCTGCCTCCCAAGTGCTGGGATTAAAGGTGTGGGCATTGGTGCTTTACCACTACATACTCTGGATTCTTGAGGTATATGCTGCTGCTGTTGGGTTCAGTAGGCTCTAAATGTTGGCTGCATTCTAGTGAGTGGTGCTGTTGAATTTCTCTCTACCCTTGCTGATTTTCAGGCTAGTTGTTGAGAAGTTTATGTTGGAATTTCAAATGATGTTGTCTATTTCTCCTTTCGGTTCTGCTGGGTTTCAGTTCATATTGCTTTGATGCTCTGGTGTTTGGTGAAAATACATTTACAAATGTCATGTCCATTTTGGTGTCTTGGTGCTTTTATTGTTATATAAAGTCACTCTGATGTTGGTGATTTTTTCTCTGTAGTATATCTTATCTAGTATAATTACTCATAATTTCTTTGAATTGTTTGCTATATGTATTACTTGGGCCTTTTACTTTCTTTTTTGTTTGTTTTTTTCAAGACAGTGTTTCTCTGTGTAGCTTTGGAGCCTATCCTGGCACTCGCTCTGGAGACTAGGCTGGCCTCGAACTCACTGAGATCTACCTGCCTCTGCCTCCCGAGTGCTGGGATTAAAGGCATGCATCACCAACGCCAGGCCGGGCCTTTTACTTTCAATAGACTTTTTTTCTTCTACGAGTACATACATTCACATGCGTGCTGGTGTCTGAGGTCAGAGGCATGGAAACCTTCTGGACCTGGAGTGACAGGCAGTTGTGAGCCACCTGATAGAGATACTGGGAACTGAATTTGGGTCCTCAACAGGAGCAGTATTCGCTTTCAACTTTTGATCATTATATTTGAAGTTAGTTTCTTGTATACATAATATTACTGGGCTGTACTTCTGTATCAACTCTACCATTCTCTGCTTATAATTGGTGTATTTGGACAGTCTGTGCTTAAGGTAATTAAATCTGCTGCTTGAGTTCTTGTTTTCTGTTTGTTTTTCTTTTTTCCATTTTCTATTTTCTCTGCTTTTCTGGGTTTCCTTGATTGTTTCATTTATAGTAGTTTTCACGTGTCTCTTTGTATTTTTTTTCTTCTTGGTTTCTCCAGGAATTACATTACATCATTATATTTTATTTATTTATTGGGAGTGGGGGTGGGCATATATGCCTATGTGGTTACAGGTGTTTCTTTTCCTTCACCACATAGGTCCTGGGGTATCAAACTCAGATAATGAGACTTAGTAACAAGCACCTACATGTCTCTGGCCCAGAATTTTATCACATAAGCAGAATTTCCTCATTACAATCACCTCTTTACCATTGTGAACGACAGGTAGAAGTTTATAATACTCATTCTCCCCCATTTGTAATTAAATTCTCTTGGCTATTTCCTCTACAGGTACTGAAAACTGGGCCAAGCAGTCTACAGTATTTGCTTTAGCAGCCAGCAAAATTTCTAAGATCCAAGAGAGGGAAAGTTGTAGCCACTCTTAATTTTCCCCACTTCAGTCTTTTCCAAGAGTTTTTGTTTTTTATTATCTCCTTTCTGTTGTGTGTCCTCCCCTCTGCCCTTTATTTAGGAGGCTTGCTGGTAACAATTTCTCTTCACTTCCCAGCATGTGGGAGTATCAGCGCTTCCTCTTCTTCTTAAAGGACATTTTCACTACATTCAGAAGTCTAGATTGACAGTTCCTTCAGTTCTTGAAAAATAAGAGTCTGATCTCAGAGCGAGGCTGTTCTGCAGTTGCTTCTCTCCTGGTCCTGCTGTGTCACTCTTTCCTACTTTCCATTGTCTTTCATTTTCAAAGGTCAAGTGTG